GGAGGTAGGTGGGCACGTGGAGGTGGGGTCCAGGAAGGGGACATGAACACAGCAGGTCTTGGAGCTTTCTCCTTCAGGGGCAGGGGCAGGAGGACAGCCACCTGGCTTCACCATGAAGGGTCCGAGAGCACGGCATGGAGGGAGAGGCAGATCTGGAGAGAACACTGGCTGGTCTGTGTAGGGAGGCGGAGGAACAGGTTGAAGAGGGAAGAATTCCTAAGACAAACCCTGAAATGACAAAGGAAAAGAATGACAAATCTGATTACACAAACATGAGCAAGTTCCAAAGACCAATCACAAAAACAATCACAAAGTCCCCACCAACTCGGCTGAAAGTAAAACAATTAGCTGAGAAGAAATATTTGTCACCTGCAGACCATGGCAGACAGAGGATTTTATTTTAAAGCAACCTACAAATCACTAAGAAAAAAACCCCAAAGAAATAGCAATCTGGAAAAGGACAGAAAGAGGGAATGTGCAGAAGAAGAAGTGCCAGCAGCTGCCAAACCCACCGTCCACAAAATCCTGGATCAAACAGGCAGGAGACGACATGACAAGGTGCTACTCTCTGCCCATCGGGTTGGCACAGAGTTAAAAACAAGGACCCCGTATTGCCAAGGGAAAGAGCCCTGTGGGTGAGGGTGTCAACTGGGCAATGCCTGTCAACTTCTAGTATAATCATGTGTGCTTCCCTTTGATCCAAGAATCCCGCTGGGGGGAGTTATTCCTGTAGAAATGTTTGCTCAGGTGTGCGAAGATACCTGCGTGAGACTTTTCATCTCAGCATTGTGTGTGATGCTGAGAAACTGTATCTATGGAAAGTATGGAAAACTGAACTGTGTGGTGTCTACAGTGAGTAGACCTATGTGGCCTTCCTGGAAAGAGGCTGTTGAATGAGCAAAGCCAAGTCATACGCTAAGTAGAGCATGATGCCTCCTGTGCATTTAAACAGAAAACTCTCCTATATATTCTCCATGGATTAATAGAGAGGAAAGTAAAGGTTTAGAAAAGGGGTGAAAGTACATGTGTCAGAATGATGAAAGTCATCGCTGCCAGTGAGGGCAGGGGAGGCAGGGCCTCCTTGTACAGTTGGTCAGGCTGTGTATGGCACAAAGTTACAAAGTTGCCCTGTACAGTTGGTCAGGCTGTGTATGGCACAAAGTTACAAAGTTGCCCTGTACAGTTGGTCAGGCTGTGTATGGCACAAAGTTACAAAGTTGCCCTGCCACAGAGGAGAGTGGGGTCTGTCCAGCCCATGCTGCATTCTCCAGTCAGGTGCCTGCAGGGCTGAGTCCACCAAGCGCAGGAGCCTTTTTCTAATTCTCCCAAAGGTATTACATGAGCAGCTGTCTTCCCTGGGGAAAGGACCAAGACTTGGGGGTCAGGGATGTTAGAGGGATGCTCACAGTGTTTGGTTTAAAAAAAAAAAAAAAGAAAGGAAAAATTTTTGTCTGGGTACTGGACCACACCTGTAATCTTAGCACTTTGGGAGGCTGAGGCAGGTGGATCATTTGAGGTCAGGAGTTCAAGACCAACCTGACCAACATGGTGAAACCTTGTCTCTACTGAAAATACAAAAAATAGCCAGGTGTGGTGGTGGGCACCCGTAGTCCCAGCTACTTGGGAGACTGAGGCAGAAAAATCATTTAAACCCAGGAGGCAAAGTTTGCAGTAAGCCAAGATTGTGCCACTGCACTCCAGCCTGGGTGACAAAGCGAAACTCTGTCTCAAAAAAAAAAAAAAAAAGAAAAAGAAAAAAAGAAAAACTTTAATGAAGCTCGTCTATCATCACGTACACCCCAAACATGTTTTAGTGTAGGCTTTGTTGCCAGACCTGAGTTTGAACTTCAGCTCCTTGTTCACCAGCTGTGTGACTGAGCAAGTTACTCTCCCTCTGTGAGCCTCAGTCTTCCCATTAGTCATATGGGCTAAAAAGTCTTTGCACTTTTGCCCACTTGGCATCCACACACCTGAGCTTTCCTGAGAAGCATCTGCACCTGCATAATGGGTCCGTACAGCCTGTGGGGGCTGACTTCATCCCCACTGAGGCCTCAGCACGTGGCAAAGTACGTGGGTGTTTCAAGTAGGTAACACCACAGAGCCCCAGTGAGTGGTTCAAGAAAGGACCTGTGGCCATGTGTGGACCAAGTAGCCCACTTCTGGGACTTCTGCTGCAATAGCAAGAGCAGCTCTTTTCAAGGGGTTGTTAGGAGTGGGGAGGGTTTGAAGGACAACTGCATGGCGACACCTGAGCATGGAAAGACCGAGGCAAGGTGTGGAGAGAGGGGTGGCCAACAATGGCACCTGGGGGCCCGAGTTTGGCTCACTTTCCTATGAACTGGGTCAGGCAGATGCTGTTGGTCCCTGGCCATGTCCCCTTGGCCTTCACAGAAGTTACCTGTGGACCTCCCTGGTGGGACCTGCACCTGTGGGAGGCAGGCTGCTAGTGCGAGAAAGTAAGTGCCCCAGAGTGACCCTCGGCCACTGGGTGGGTGAGTGCAGCCAGCCCCAGCTTTCTCGACATCTGGGTGCAGATGGACTGGGGCTTGTGACGTTCCCTGGTAGGACTTAACCCCGGTGCCCACAATGGGCACCTGCTCACCATGGCACCCTTACCTGTCTTCCTTCCTGCCCCTCTACTGCTTCCCCACACCCACTCTTGCTGAATGCCTACTGCATACAAAGTGGCCAGCGCTTTCCGGGACCACCTCCCAAATATGTGACTTTTGGGGAACCCAAGCTAAGATACTGAGCCAACAAATCTCCCTCTCCTCCTCTCTCTCAAAATGAATTTTAGTTGGTTTTCTTACTTGCAACTAAAAGAAACCTGATTTACACGGGGATTCCAGTGGCAACAGCCAGCTTAGGGAAAGCCTGTGAAGACCACCTACTGCGTGGGAAACACGTGTCTTTGTACCAGGTGCATCACAGATGCCCGTGCCCTATGGCTTCCCAGGCCCCAGCTTCTGCCGAGTCTGCAGAAGGACACACAGACAAGCGGAGCCTTTTGAGTGAAAGCCCAGGAGCCACTCCTAATATGGCTGTGGGAGGGGTTTAACCCTCCCCACCATCCCACACCTGCCACAGCTCCTCACACTACCATGGTGATGGCCATTTTTTTGTGTGTGGTGAAGTCCCCTTTTCACAGCCGATTCACGTGCAGGGAGCACCAAGTCTTGCCGTGTATTGTCCCATGCTGACCACAGAACCACTTAGGGACAACCATGGAGGGATGTGCCAAGCACCTCCAGGAACTGTGTTCTAGGATCTGCCAACATGAGGGGTCTATCCCTCCCCATGTGCCATCAACAGCTGGGAGTGCAGTGGCACTATCATAGCTCACTGCAGCCTCGAACTCCTAGGGAGAAAGTGCTAGGATTACAGGTGTGAGCCACCTCACCTGGCCTGATTTTCACTGTAATTCAACGGAGATTTTGGACCTCCACAGGGAGAGACTGGCCAGAGCGTTCCCCTCTCTTTTCTCCGTATTCCATGCAGTACTGAGAACTGCCGGGTGCTGCCTGTCCCAACTCTGGCCCTGTGCCGGCAGGTGGAATTCTCCAATTGCCTCAAGCAGACCTGGACCCCAGGGCAGGGTGGCTTTCTCAGTGATGCAGAAGGGTCCTCTTCCCTTGCAATCAAGTCTCTGTGAGTGGGAGCAGGTGGCCCTGTTAGGATATGGGCTGGGAAGAGAGAGTCTTCTCATTTCACTGAGGAACAAAACGGTAGACCTTTAGTGACATCTCTACCACTTAGGAGTTGTATCCAGCTGCAAGTAGTAGAGACTTGGAAAATAGTGGCTTCAATAAAACAGGCTTATTGTCCAAGGTCAAAGAAGTCAGCGCCTTCTAGAACATGTATGGCAGTTCTAGACAGTCATCAGGACCCCATAATTACTCTGTCTTTCTGCTCTGCCATCTTTAGGGTTTGACTTCTACCCTGAAGGTTCCCAAATGGCACCTGGAGTGCCAGCTATCATGTGTATGTTCCAGGCAGGGAAAAGAAGAACAAAGGTTAAAAAGGCACATACTGGGGGTTTTTTCACATGCATTGGCCTTTTTGGAGCCTTTTGTCCTGGCCAGCAGCTTCTGCTTGCTCCTCGCCGGTCATCTGTATTTGCTAGAGAAGTTGGAAAAGGGTGTCTCCTGGCTGCTCACCCAGCCACCTTGAATCAACTCAGAGTCTGTTACTAAGACAGAAGCCAAGCATGGACACTGGGTAGGCACTGAGCAGGCTCTTGCTCGGCATTCAATCCCAGTTTTCCTTTCCCTTGTCTGGGATATTGAGGAACAACGAGCTCTCTAACTTAGCAGTCGCTCAAAGCAAGTAAGCATGATTTCTGGAACCAAGTTCTTTCCATGGGGGATTTGCTACTGTGACTGGCACTTCTCCTTCATTCTAGATAAGCTGTGAATGCTTGGGAAGGGTGCACAGGCCTTTCCCTAGGAGGGACAGGCACACGTGACAGCCTGTCACCCTCCTGTGCTCTCTGACATAAGGAAACGTTCCATTACCTGGCAGTGTCAGATGGTCTCAAGCTCTGCGGGGGCAGTTTGTTCATGAGTCTTAGGCAGGTTCCAGAAGCAGGCCCCGAGACAAGTATTTCTGTGCAGGGGGTTTATTAAGGAAGCCTCCTGAGGTCATGGCAAGGGAGAGGAGAAGGGGAGCAGGACAGGGAAGGGAAATCATTTGAGCCAGTTGTGATTTCAGGAGAGGCCCAGCCTCTGCCCGACCCTGCAGGGAGCTCCAGACAAGGGAGCCTGGCCCCAAGACTTCTGCCCTGGTCAGGCATTAGCTGAAAACACCTGGGGCAGGGGAGGAGGGATAGACTCCCAGGCATTCCTGCTCTCTGCCTGTGTGGGAGAAGCAGTTCCTTGCAAGCGTGAGCCACAAGTGAAGCGGTGGCCTGCCCCTCCAAACCTGTGGGCGTTACGTGGAACGAGAGACTTGAGAAAAGAAATGAGACACAGAGACAAAGTATAGAGAAAGAAAAAGTGGGCCCAGGGGACCCTGTCGGCACCCACCGGTCTCTGAGTTCCCTCAGTATTTATTGATCATTATCTTTACCATCTCAGAAAAGGGGAAGTGGCAGGACAATGGGATCATAGTAGGGAGAAGGTCAGCAGAAAGACATATGAATAAAGATCTCTGTGACATGAATAAGTTTAAGGAAAAGTGCTGTGCCTTGATTTGCATATGCAAACATCTCCATAAACCTTTTAGTGCATAAAGAGCAGTATTGCCGCTAGCGCTAGCACGTCCCACCTTCAGCCCTAAGGCGGTTTTCTCCTTTCTCAGTTCATAGAACATACAATCTGGTTTTACAGCGAGATGTTCCATTGCCTAGGGACGGGCAGGAGACAGATGCTTTTCTCTATCTCAACTGCCAAGAGGCCTTCTTTCCTCTTATACTAGTCCTCCTCAGTACAGATCCTTCATGGGTGTCAGGCTGGGGGACGATCAGGTCTTTCCCTTCCCATGAGGCCATATTTCAGACTATCACATGGGGAGCAACCTTGGACAATACCTAGCTTTCCTAGGCAGAGGTCCCTGCAAACTTCAGCAGTGTATGTGCCCTGGGTACTTGAGATTAAGAGAATGTGATGACTTTTAACCAGCAAGCTGCCTTCAGGCACTTGTTTAACAAAGACACATCCTGCACAGCCCAAAGTCCGTTAAACCTTGAGTCACCAAAGCACATGTCTCTTGCAAGGACAGGGTTGGGGGTAGGGTCACAGATTAACAGCATCTCAAATACAGAACAAAATGGAGTCTCTTATGTCTACTTCTTCCTATACAGACACAGTAACAGTCTGATCTCTTTTTCTTTTCCCCACAAGGAGAGGACGCTGTGCAGCCCAGATGCTGGGAGATAGGGGCACAGATCTGATAAGAGGAACTTAGCGGGTCCGGCTGAACAATAACAGCTTGGGCCTCCCTGCACATTCATAAAGACAAATACTAAATACAATAACTGTATATTAACTAGATAATGTTTATCAATATAAATATATAAATTAACATGGGTAATAAAATCGTAATCAATACTGTTAGGTAGTGTTTCCTGAGTGCCTTCGATGTTCTGGACACTGTGCTGAAGAAGCACTTTCCACGGGTCTTCCCACTTCCTCCGCACTCCACCCGTGTGTGAGGTGGGTACATAATGATCCCACATTCCAGACGAGGGAACTGAGGCCCAGGAAGGCCGCGCCAGCTCTCTGGCTGCAGAGTGGTCTCTGGTGTAGGCCAAGCGCTCTCACCAAGATGCCTGCACTCTTTGCTGCCTTTCCCAGGGATCAGGGCCACACAGCTGAGGGTCCCCTCCAAGGTGGTGTCTCAGGCCCGGTGTCTGGCCCTCTCAGGGCCTGGAAATCCTGTTGCCCCCCAGCCCAGTGGCCCCGGGGACTTGTGGAGTCCTCTGTGCCATGCTGCAGGTGAGTGGGGTACTGGCAAGGCAGAGTGAGGGCTGCGGTGTGACTTTGGAGCACTTCTGTCATTTTCTCCCCCCAAAATGAGACAGGATCTTGCTCTGTTGCCCAGGCTGGAATGAAGTGGTGCAATTATAACTCACTGTGGCCTGGACCTTCTGGGCTCAAGTGATCCTCCCGCCTCCCACAGCCAGCCTCCTGGGTAGCTGGGACCACAGGCCCATGCCACATTGCCAGGCTAATTTTTTAATTTTTGGTAGAGATGGGGGTCTCGCCAAGTTGCCCAGGCTTCATGTCATTTTCTGAAACTGTTTCTTTCCCACCTTAAAAATGGAACAAACAACCCCTCATGGGAACCAGCATCCTCCACTCCTGGGCTTTCTGGGGCGTCTCTCCCAAGTTCCCCGGGGCCTGACCCTCAGAACCCGGGTTTGCTGCAGGGTCTACACCCAGCTCCAAGCTCTCAGCCCAACACTTAGCAGTGGCTGAGGAACGATGGTCGAACAGGCAAGGAATGGACACGCGAGCGCCAGTGAGTGCTTTGTTCCACAGGAGGCCACGGCTGCCTTGGTGCCAAGGGACAAGCTGTTCCCTGGAGTTTACTTCCCAGTGTTCTGGGAAGCGTCCAGCTGCAGACAGCAGCCTGGGGGAAGTGCGTCCTGGCTGCCCCCACCCCTAGTCTCACGCTGGCACAGCGGGACCAGGGCACAGGGTGGGGAGATGAGGGTGTCTGTGGCCAGGCCTCCCAGGTTGGCTGGAGGTGCTCATCAGGCTCCCAGGCGGTGCTCCCAGTAGGTCTCTTTGTCCTCTGGTCACTTCCTGCCTGCGGGAGGCCACTGGGCCTGGACCAGCGCTGCCCACAGCCAGCAGGGCCCTGGTTTACCCCCATGGGTCTTGAGCTGCTGAGCACTGATGCCACAGGGTGGTGCCAAGGCACCTTCTGGAGAGGGCCCAGAAGGCCTGGCCAAGGGTAGGGGTCGTGGTGCTGCGGTCCCTGCCCAGGGGATGCCTGGCTGGTGCAGGGAAAGAGGGAGGTGGTCCTGGAGGCAGTGCTGCCTTGATCTACCCACAGGAGCGCACTGTACAGGGGTTACGTGAGTGTGGGATCGGGGTCCCCCAGGCCCCATCTGCCCCCTCATGCTTGGTGGCATTGAGCAGGTGTCTTAGCCACTCTGACATCTGCATTCTCCTCTGTGAAACAGGATGTGACAGGACTCCCTCTTGGGCTCCTGAGATCCTGGCATGTGTAGCGCTGTGTCAGGCACAGTTCTAGGCCCTCTACCTTCACTGGGTTTAGGTAGCCTCCTACCAAAGAAGGATAAGAAGACCCAGAGAGGCTGAGCAATTGCCTGAGGTCACACAGCTGCCCAGTGGCCTCAGAGGACACAGCTGGTGTCCCATCCATCAATCACCCACCCTCCCTACCCAGGACTCGCCTCTTCAGGTCTAAGCCCGGGACTCCCGAGTGGGCTCCTTGGGCCGCTTCTCCCAGCTGCAAGGACGGGCAGTCTCCACAGCTGGAGGCCTGGAGAGTCCTTGCCCCAGGAGAGGGTCTCAGCCAACAGTGGCTGTGGGGGTGGTGGACAACTACTCTAGCCCCTTGCTCCTTAGTGTGGCAACCTCTGGGGCCTGCTCCATGCTATGTCCCAGGGCTCCCCGCAGCACAGGGCTCCCCGCAGCATGGAGCTTGGCACTTCACTGGTAACTGCTTTGATAACGCATACTTTACTGGCTTCTTCCCTCCCCTGCCTCTCATGCCCTCCCCTGGGGCTTCCTGCATCTCCCAAACCAAGCACTGGCTCTGGGATCCTTGTCCCAGCGACTGACTCAGCCCCCGCCCGAGACGGTAGCAAAGCCGGAGTTGGGCCAGACAGTCGGGCTCCAGAACCTACTTTTATTTTATTTTATTTTTTTTTGAGACGGAGTCTCGCTCTGTCGCCCAGGCTGGAGTGCAGTGGCCGGATCTCAGCTCACTGCAAGCTCCGCCTCCCAGGTTTACGCCATTCTCCTGCCTCAGCCTCCCAAGTAGCTGGGACTACAGGCGCCCGCCACCTCGCCCGGCTAGTTTTTTTGTATTTTTTAGTAGAGACAGGGTTTCACCGTGTTAGCCAGGATGGTCTCAATCTCCTGACCTCGTGATCCACCCGTCTCAGCCTCCCAAAGTGCTGGGATTACAGGCTTGAGCCACCGCGCCTGGCTCAGAACCTACTTTTAAAAAGTTTTGTTTGTTTTGTTTTGTTTTTTTAAAATAAGGAGGTAATGGGGTCTTGCTTCACTCTGTCATTCAGGCTGGGGTGCAGGGGGCAGGCAGCCTCGAACTCTTGGGCTCAAGCCATCCTCCTGCCTCAGCCTCTCCAAGTGCTGGGACTGCAAGTGTGACCCACTGCAGAATCTGTTCAGTGGGGCGGCTGGACTGGTTTCGACCCACTGGACTTGTTTGCAAAACCCCCCACCGGGCACAGTCTCTGGACATTTTCCTAGTTTGTGACAAGGGGCCGCTGCCAGAGGCGAGTGAGGGACCTTTTACCCTCTGTGCCCCTCTGTCCCTGGGTCAGGGCCCTGAAATTTATTGCACCCACCAGCCCCAGGGACAAAGTCCTCCGCACAGGGCAGGTAGCCAGCCCCCGGACCAACGCCTCAGGAAGGTAAAGAAGCTGGGTCCACCCATGCTCACCACCTGACTTTGGTCCAGGGCAAGCGGTCCAGGGCTCCATCCCTCCTGAACTGGTTCCTCCCAGCCCCATCCAGAACCCGGGGTGCAGAGGAGTCCAGTACCTAGGTCAGCAGTGCCACCTGTTGGTGACCATCAGAAGGTGCTGGCACCTCGTTCTCTGCTGGATACCAGGCAGCCACTCTGTGGCATTGAGGGCTGTCACTCGGGAGGGCTGTCACCCAGGGAGGCTGTCACCCAGGAGGGCTGTTACTCAGAAAGGCTGTCACCTAGGAGGCTATCACTCAGGAAGGCTGTCACCCAGCAGGGCTTTCACCCAGGGCTGTCATCCAGGGGGGTGCTACCCAGGGCTGTCACCCAGGAGGCCTGTCACCCAAGAAGGCTGTCTCCCAGGAGGGTTGTCACCCAGCAAGGGCTGTGACCCAGAAGGACTGTTAACCTGGAGGTTTCAGAGTGGAGTCAGGTTTTACAGGTTGAAACCTGGAAAGAACTGTCGGGTTTCTGGGTGTAGCATCTGTTCCATGACATGATGTACAAGAAGGAAGAATGGAAGAGACTGTGATCTCAGCTGCTTAGAGATAGGGTTGCGGTTGCAACGGTCAAAAATGGCAGCCCAGTGAATCCCATTGTCCATGGTGTGAATTCTTGGAGACAGGTGCGTCCCTGCCAGCCAGCGATATGAGAAATGATGTTCAAGATTGTTTTGATTCAAGTGTTTTGATTCAAGACAGGGATGGGTGGGACAGGGTGTGGATTTCTGCCCAAAGCACTTCCTATGTGGAACCAGCAGGGCAAATGGCTGTGGACCAGCATGCAGCCAGCCAAAGGGAAACTGGTGTGCAGAGAAGTGTTCCTGAGAGTCAAGTGCATAAAATGCAAATCAAACGTGGGAAGTGCCAAGAAACGTTATATCAGGACATCACTCCAAATTTGGAAAGAATGGGCAGTGGGGAGATGACCTTTTGTTGAGCCACATTACCCCAGCCAGGACAGGAGGCCTTGGGGAACCCCTCTTCTTTTTGTCACAAGAAAAAAGTGTATATTCATAGTAGGTGAAAATTATGGTGATATTGAACAACCGTCGTTAAAATGGTATCACCTGTATCTATTGATGACATTTCATAGCCTTCATGTAAGCCATTCTAAGTGGCTGCAAACATTCATTTTACAGGGCTGACCATGACATTCTTAAGTTTCCTCTATTGCTGAGTATTCAGAGACTTTCCAGCTTTGGGTTTAAAAGTGATACTCGCCAGGTGCAGTGGCTCACGCCTGTAATCCCAGCACTTTGGGAGGCCGAGGCAGGTGGGTCACTTGAGGTCAGGAGTTCCAGACCAGCCTGACCAACATGGTGAAACCCCATCTCTACTAAAAATACGAAAATTAGCTGGGCGTTGTGGTGGGCACCTGTAATCCCAGCTACTCGGGAGGCTGAGGCAGGAGAATCACTTGAACTTGGAAGGCATACGTTGCAGTGAGCCGAGGTTGCACTCCAGCCTTTACAACAAGAGTGAAACTGTCTCACAAAAAAATAAATCAATCAAAGTAAAAGTGATACTCAAGTGTATGTGTCAAATTTTGCCCACTTTTTGGATTATTTCTTCTGGATGGATTCCTAGAAGTGGAATTCCTGAGTAAACGGAAGGCAGGACCTTTGTTCCTTGATCAGTGACTTCACACTGTTGGGCCAGAGCCAGTCTGGCTTTTCGCTCAATTTGATTGGTTCCATGCAAGCCCATGCCACTTTTTAATGCACATGAACCTTTTTTTTTTGTTTTTTTTTTTTTTAAGAGGTGGATTCTCATTCTGTTACCCAGGCTGGAGTGTAGTTGCAGGATAACAGCTTGCTGCAGCCTGGTCCTCCTATGCTCAAGTGATCCTTTCCCTTCAGTCTTCAGAACAGCTGGGATTACAGGCATGCATCACCATGTCCCACTGATTTTTTTTTTTTTTTTTTGCTAGAGACAGGGTCACGTTATGTTGCCCTCACTGATCTCAAACTCCTGACGTCAAGTGATCTCCAGCTTCATTCTCCTAAAGTGTTGGGAGTATAGGCTTGAGCCACAATGCCTGGCCTGTACCTAAATTTTTTTCCCCACACATCAGAATTTCCACAAAATCATGTGTTCTATGCCTACATTTTTAAAAATAAGACTTGCCGGGCACGGTGGCTCATGTCTGTAATCCCAGCACTTTGGGAGGCCGAGGAGGGTGGATCACGAGGTCAGGAGATCGAGACCATCCTGGCTAACATGGTGAAACTCCCATCTCTACTAAAAATACAAAAAAATTAGCCGGGCGTGGTGGCAGGCACCTGTAGTCCCAGCTACTTCGGAGGCTGAGGCAGGAGAATGGTGTGAACCCAGGAGGCAGAGCTTGCAGTGAGCCGAGATTGCGCCACTGCACTCCAGAATGGGAGACAGAGCGAGACTCCATCTCAAAAAAAAAAAAAAAGTAAGACTTCTGGCCAGGCGTGGTGGCTCACACTTGTAATTCCAGCACTTTGGGAGGCTGAGGTGGGTGGGTCATTTGAGTTCCGGAGTTTGAGACCAGCCTGGGCAACATGGCAAAACCCTCTATTCTCTAAAAAAAGATACAAAAATTAGCTGGGTGTGGTGGCATGTGCCTGTAGTCCCACTACTTGGGAGGCTGAGGCATAAGAATCGCTTGAACCCAGGAGGCAGAGGTTTCAGTGAACTGAGATTGTACTACTGCACTCCAGCCTGAGCAACACAGAGAGATCCTGTCTCAACAAAAAAAAAAAA